AGGCAAATTGAAGAAAGGAAATCCATTGGCATGTCCTAACACTCTCAGCTAAAATAAGATCGTAATTAGTAAGGGATTTAGATTCTGTACACATACGAAATGATATGACAACCTGCTAACTGGAGACAATACCCTTCAAATGTTACTGAGGAGCAAAGACTGGTACATAATTATGTGCAAGGAGTGGGAGGGTTACAAGAAATATTTCAATCTAGTAGACTGAACCACAGCTGAGAAAAGGCTAAAACAATAACCCTGAAAACAAGTAACAAGCTACTGTCACAGCACAAGGAGGATAAAGACGAACATGTTTGTTTACACAGCAAGCCAAATTTTGCCTACAGGCAGACCTACCTTCACAACAGTCATAGACATATGTCCATAGTATTTGTATATGTATATGAAAGTGAAATATGGCTTTAATGTGAACTACAGAGAAGCAAGACTTCACACACACTGCGTATTACAAAGGGTCCTATAAAAATAACATCATAGTTTATAGTCTGTTTAGTAATAATTGTGACAACATGAGCTGGGAGAACTTATATGTGGCTGATTTTTTAAAAGTTACAAGTATACGTTTTTTTTTAATTATGACCGTAGAAAACAAATGTTCAGGTTTAGCTTTTGATGCCTGTGCTGCCATTAATAATTGCTAGTTGTCCCTGAGAGACAGAAACAGCAAGCGACCTCACCTAACAGTGATGTTGTAAAAAGAAATTAATTAATACTGTATTCATGGACCACTCAGATACCACAGTCAGAAGTGGCATGGAAAAGCCTATGAGGAAATTAATCATTCTGCATTCAGTGCCAGATCTGGCAGATGTGCAATAAAGAAAGCCTGGAGACATACATTAAATATAAAAAAAATAAAATAAAGGGATTCTAGCCATTACCAGAAAAATAATATCCCCTGAATGAGCATCACCTACCTTGTGCATTAAATGTTTGATGTATTCTCATTCAAAACAAGGGAAAATCTGATTAATGTGGTAAGATTATAGCAAGTACCAGCCAGGTATTCTATGCAAAATATAGAATCTGATAATGTAATTAAAGTCTATCATAAATATATGTTCTGGGACTAGTATTTCCTCATTTCCACATGCTTAATTTTGCAACTAAATAACACTCCCACAGTGCAGCAGTTATTAGCAAATGTACATTATTCTCAGCACTCAGAAGCTCCTGTCACCACAGATCTAGGTGGGTTATGTGTTGGCACAGTAAACCAATCCGTGTTTCATGCTGCAGCTGCTAGACTGCTTCTGTAGTCAAACTACCCTGTTGTATAGCTAGCTCAAGAGAGTCAGGAGAGCAAACACATGGCAAAAAAAGGCTTAATAGTGGCAACAAACTTGCAAGTTCACAGCTAACTCAGATATCTGTACTAAAATTGCAACTGTAAATTACTAGTTTTATTTTACTCTACATAATTTCAGTTCTGCTCTCCCATCCACGTAAGTTATGCTTTATCTTACCCCATCAGCTCAAATCTGAAGTCAGATTTCAACTTTCTCCTCTGTTAATCAGTAGGGACGGCTGCTGGAGAGGAAGGATGTGTAGGGAGGACTCTAGGATGCACCCCTGGGTTGGAAAAGGTCTATCATAGCTGCTTTCTACAGTACTTCAGAAATGGGGAGAAGAGGCAAGGGAGGTCCATGCATGCCTGTCTAGAAAAATGAAAGATGTGCTAGAATAATCTGGCTGGCAGAAGTAGTCTCAACATCTGTGCTGAGATGCAGCAGTGATGTAACACATGGTTCCCAGTACAAAAAAAAACCCCACTGTATGAGACAATATGGATGACCAAGTGTAGTTCTTCAGGCAACCACATATAAACCCATTCCACTGTGTTGAGACTAAGACTTTTACCTGGGCTACTTGAGTCAGAAAGGGCACACTACCTGAAGATGCAGTGTGAGGTAGATAACCGTGGGCTGAGGAACTGCAGCATCCTTGAAGGTTTCCAGCAGTATATTAACAGGTACATCCTGGGGATGACACCCAAATTAATCCCCATCCTGACCCCAGGAACCAGCCTGCACAGCCTGTGGGCACAGCTCAAGGACTCTGATCACCCAGTCTGGTGAAAAGAAAGGCAAGGTTCTTCCACCTTCTCTGTGCAATAGCAACTGTCTCTCACGTTTAGCAGGACAGCCCACTACCTGGAGACAGTCTGACTGTTGCATACAATCTGCCTCAGAAAGAAGAGGCTAAGTCTGTGCTTACCTAGTGAGGCGAAGGCAGGCTCAGGAAAGCATGAAATTCCCAGAGCCCCACAGGCTATATATGTGCTTTCTCTCCATGCTACTGCCCATGACTCAGACTCCAAGCATATTTGCCGCTTAGGAACAATCAGCTCAGTTTATTAGTTGGTGAACCACAGAGTAGTGCTTGGACCCTCCTCTGCTTAATTCAGACAGACACCGCAAGTCGGAGTTTGGATCTGTCCAGCCAAATGTATTCTAGTTCTCCATCTTGAGATTCTTCAAAACTTGGCTGAGCTATTGATATATTTACTGCTTTCTTTCCCACAAGAGGAACATTTGTGTTAAAACAGGTGCATGGAATACTTTCTAAGACAAATCTGACCAGCTGCAGGGAAAAAATAATGAATATACATATCCAAATGATGAGGCACAATTCCCTTTCAAAGATCAATTCTGACCAATTTCTGAGTACGCAGGTGGCCAGTGCCTCACGAGCAAAGAGATTAATAATTTTAGTAGCCAGATCTTCCAGAATAGCATAGCAAAGCTTAATGATATATTTGTCCTCAGCTAAGACAATGATAGTAGGTAACAGTAATTTTTTTCTCCAGCAGACAGGAAAAAGGCTATTATAGGTAGGTATTTCATTTACTGTGTTATTAACATTATTGAACTAATGGAAATTGGGGCAGTCTTTTCTTTTTTTTTTTTTTTTTTTTATGAGCTAGCCTACCAGTTAGCTGCTTTTTGACACAAGCAGGACATACCACGAATCTTCTCTTCATAGAAGGGCTGCTCATTCCAGCATAAAATTAAGACAATCGAATCTGATTGAATGTTAAAGCTAACTTATCTCTTTTCAGGAATGCAAACCCAAACAAAGATTTACTTAGCTTTCCTGAAGACAAAAACCAAACAACAAACCTAAATGCAGGTGAAAGGCTTGCAACAGAGCTGGCCATCACCATGTCATTATCAAGACATTCTAATAAAGATATCAGAATTTGTAAAAATAAGCAAACCAAAACATGGAATGAGAAAAAACACATTCATAGTGAGAAAATCAGGAAGTTATAATATTGATCTTTGAAAAAGGCCAACAGTACACAATGATATCTACAATTACAGGGTTCAAAGACAATGACAGCAAAACTCACAAGAATTACTATATAAAACTGACTTTCTCCAACTCTTTGTAGCTCAGAGCAATCAAATATATTGATCACTTCTTTTGAATATTTGAAAATTTCCTGTCTTAAAAATCTGAACAAGGCATATGGGAAACTGAAGCTAGTAAAATTGTAAAAGCCTATGTTTTGTTTGTTTGTTCAAAAAGCTCACAGACCTGATTAATTCCCACATAAGCTGAAGGAAGCGTTAATGACAAACATCATTCCCTTTTCTAGCTGAAATTTTTGCTCATCTTTTTTTGAACAAGGATATTTTTTGATATTGGGTATTCTCAATAAACAATAGCTAAAATATCTATTGCCAGGCACATCAGTGTAAATGTACAGGCCCTACCTATAATCTCCTCTGACTGGTGGGAACTTGGGATGCTAGAATCACAGGGAAAAGAAACCACTTTTTCAACATCGATATTAAAATACCTATTTCTTTTTCAACATATCAGAAAAAGATAATTCCTTACTCCACAGATGTCTGACAAAGCTGATGTATTCTTACAAATCAAAGGATCTATATCACTTTTGGATACGTAACAGAAATAATCAAAGCCCTGATATAGGCGGTGTTGTGAAATGACATGTCTCTGTAGTTATTGCACTTAAATAACACATCAGTCTTGATCAGATAGTGATCTCTTTAAGGGACCAGGACTTTCACTGGTAATTTTCTATTACTTGCCCAGTCAGAAGATTACAAGGAATTTAAACAAATAAAGATTGATTTTTGTTGGGAAAGGGTGTTCTTTATTCTTTATCATAAATAGACATGTTATGTTAGGGTGCTGCTACACATAGCAACTGCTTTGCTCAATTCATTTTTTAGAAGTCCCTTTGTGATTCATATAGTAATCTGTGTCAAAAACAATCACCATTAAAATATACAGGTTCTTTTTGCCCTTTGAAAAATGTATCCTACCCTTAAAATTATACTTTTATCAGATTATAGAGATAATTAGAGTATTACTATTCAGGAGAAGTGTGTGTGAGATTGTTAGAACTCCTAAGCAAAGAGAATATCTTTCAGCATTTCTTAAACTCTCTTTGCTATTTTTCCACACAGTTTTACATAAAGCAAGTTTAGTCATGTAGTGCCAGTGTGTAATCCCTCTTTGGACAGGGATTTTAAACTTCAAAATAACAATTAGGAAAGCAGGCACCTAAGAAATACACATAGCACAGAAAACCTTGTCAGTTGGTTCAATTTGACCAATGGTCTATTTTCCAGTGCTTCAGAATCACCAGTACCATAAACAAGTTGTTTTATTAATTTATTTTGCCATTGCTGAAGAGAGGAAACTATCTTGTCCCACAAGGTATGACAGCAGTCTCTCAGGTTATGTTGCCTACCATTAGAATGAGCTAAACACCTACCTAATCACTGCACCACCTTTCTGACCACTTGTGAAAGGCAAACATCTTCAACTACAGTAACAGTTTCAGATTTTTGATAAGTATGACCCAGAGAAAGCTGAAGGATTATAGGGCAACAGTGCTAAACCAATAGTGTGGGTTTTATACATCATCTGAGTCTGCATTTTAAGTAAAAGGAATATTAGGTAGCATCAATGGCATAACAACATAAAGACCTTGGTCTTACCCTTTGTTTTCAAGTCGTTTAATACCTTTGATTCCACGGGCAGTATATCACTCACTAGTTTTATCTCAATATTTCGGGATGCCAGTTCAAGCAATTTTTCAAAAAGACGCTGACCCTGGGAAGAACATTAAAGGAAAGCAGAAGATGTAAGACACAGAATTGTTCAAACAGCATATCAACAAATTAAAGATGCAAGTTAAAACAAAATCATACTGCACAACTGCTGAGTAAATATGTTCTTAGATATGGTTAAATCTACACTAAAGGTTAGCAACTCAGCTTTTTCTCGGAGAAATACTGTTTTGAAGGCCAAACTTGCTACTTCCTTTTCCCAGACTGTGTAATTCTACTGATGACAGGTGACATGCAGAGAATGAAGCGTGCAGTTTTTTTATGCTGTATAAACATATTTTTACATTAACTTTCTTCTAAATAATTACATTCTGTTAAATCAGGACACAAAGTGTAAGCAAAAGTTTTAATTATACTTATTCTGCATTGAATGATTTTTTGTAAGTTGTTCTAACCACAGCACAATACATTTTCAAGTGGTCGCACGCTCATCTTTACATGAGCGATACCGGAAAAGAAAACAATAATGCTATTCCTTTTTAAACCATTATAACTTTACTATTTAAGCCCTATTTCTAACACAGAACAAAAAAAAGGGGAACTCATACTGAACTAGATATTTGTTAAAACAGAAATCAAGATATTTGTTTTGCGGGAAAAATAAAATTTTAAACCACTGCATTTTTCCACAGCCAAGAAACAAAGAAAAAGTAGACCTTCCAATTGCATAGTAAGTGTTTAATTTTTAGATTCAATATTTTAACTTAAAAAAATGCTTAGTTAGCAGCATCGAACTACAGGATGTCAAGAATAAAATATCCAATATACCACTACTGTGCTGTGTTACTACAACCACGGTTAGAGCCTGTTTCTTTACTGCCATTCTAGCCTACTACAGCAGACACCAGTTACAATTAATAGTCATATACACAAAAACTTTGGGTTTAATCTTCTAAAAAAGCGCTTGGCCCTACCTACACAGCTCACTTTAGATTCAATATAATTCTGGCCCCAAGGTAAAGCTAAAACAAAACAGCGACAGTCATATCAGCTTTCAAAAAAACAGAAGATACAGCTTTCCACAGAACCATGCTAGACAATTCTCTGTACAAACTATTCCTTTACAAATCTCTAAAGGATCTTTCTCTTCTACAAAAATGGCTGAGGCAAAAGCAGTTTGGGATGATGCAATCTGACATAGCACAGTATATCAAAACACAGACAGAAGCTCTCCTCCCACATCACACCCATAAGCGGCAGACAGTGGAGAGCCGCCCTGTTGGGACTTAAGCATTAAGCAGTCACAGAAAGTAGCTCTTCACCTTGTCTACAGTACAGACCTATTTTTTAACATTCATTTATTTTGAACATATGTGGCAAAATAAGGATACTCACCCTCCTGAAAAAATAGCTTTCTTAAAATTCCAGAGCAGCCAGAGTTAACAGTTAACTGCATTAACTGTTCTACTAAAGAAACACTTAGAAAGTTAACATCTAAAGCTGATAAAATAATTTGTTTCAGGGGATGGTTCTTTAAATTTTTTTTCCCCAAGGTAATTACTTTTGGACATTATTCCCACTTCACTTCTACCTGCACAAGACTTTATTTACATATGATTTACAAAAGTTTGATAAACAAGCCTGGACTTTCTGTATTAATTTTAGTTCAGAGAAAAAAGGGCAGCATTTCCTGAGTTTTACCTGATCTTCATATGCCCTGCTGTGACCAAGACAGCATCTTTGATAGACCACCTGGCTGTCACTTACAGGCCACGCTGCCAGCTGAGCAGCCCATCCTACAGGTGAATAGATCACTTGGAGTGCAGCCCTGCATTCCAATGAAGACACCTTCTCTGAAAATACATCTGTCTTTCCCATCAGGGACACCACAAGCTGTGCATCAGGGACACCACAAGCTGTGCATTTATAATATCTTTTTTTTTTTTGTCCAATTATGGTGAAATCTCAGATTGATAAAACATTTAAAGCATCTTTAAGTAGTGATGGTTAAGGCTAGCAGTGCACTCACCACAAATATGTGTGTTTATACAGGTATACAAAAAACACTGCCCAGTGCCAGAACTGG